CACTTGTTCTGTGTGAGCATTGGGTTTCCTCCATATGTTTCTGCACTTGATTCTTTATTGCAGATCATATTATTTCAGGGATTTCTTTTTTCATTTCCAGTCTCAGTCCCTCTATACCTTTCTACTGTTGTTTCTTTATTTCAGAATCTTTTGATTCATTTATTTCAGCTGTGTGATTACCAATTTGTTCTGTGTTAGTGTCCTCTGTACTTGTTATTGGTGGGGGTCTGAGATTGCATTTTGCTCCTTCTTTTTGTCAGTTTGTTTTCCACTGTCTTCTGACCTTTGTTGTAGAGCTTTGGTGCAGTTATAACCTTAGCACCTACTGAAATTCAGGTTCAGATCTACAAAGTTTGAATTCATCCAGCCGTGCCTGGCTTGAATCTGGCTGCTGTGTTCAGCTCCTTCCTGCTGCCGTCCTTGGGAGTGAACCTGTTGTGCCCCTCTGCCAAGATGTTCTGCTCCTGGACTAGCTGGGTGGTTCTGTCCCCTACTGTCTTTGCAGGGACTGCAGCTGAAGAGTTTCACCCCAGGCCTGTATGCCAGGCCCCAGCTGAGTCTGAAGGGGACAAGGTGGAGTAGAGGGGAGAGGAAGCTCTCCCACACACTCACTGGGCCTAGGCTAGGGCTGTATCTGTCTATAGCTCTCTTTCCAAATGCATTACATTGCAATGGGTCTCATAAGATGGGCTTTTGAGGTCAGAGAGAGGAGGAGGCATCCACAGGGGCCATCTGTGTTCTGGACAGAGAGCCAGGCAAGGAGCGGGGAGCCAAAGAACTCAGCACTACTGGATCGATGGGAGCCTGGTGCTCCCAGGAGCTCTAGGGGGAGGACATGGGACCGAAGTCCACAGGCGATGGGAGAAGGTGGGAGGTTGCAGCCAGCCCATTAGGCGGAATGGGCTGTGCAGGCATGGCTGAGCCCTCCCGCAGGCCTCCAGGTGCAAACCCCGGCCGGCCCAAGGACAGGACATCCTTTTTCCTTCTGCCCACACTCGACCCTCTGGAGGTGCCCACGATTCACACAGATCTGCTTCCTAATGTTGGCACTTAGGGCGATCAGCTGACAGCTTACCTAAACTCCCAGCAGGCAAGGCTGCACTGCTGCATCCCAGGGACCAACTTTTGGCCACACCACGTCGACAGATTTTGGGTTTACAGGCATTTGTGCTTTCTTTGATTATATGTAAGCTTTTTTATTATCGAAGTATAGCATACATTCAGAAAAAGGCAATAAGGTACAGTTCAGGGAATTTTCACAAACATAATTTCAGAAATCATTACACAAGATGAGAAATAAAAAAATAGAAATGATCAAAATCCAAAAGATTTCTTTTCCCTTTCTGTTTTGTAATTACCTGTCAAGAATAACCACTGCTCTGATTTCTAACCCAATAGATTAACATTACCAGAGTCTGGACTTCATATAGATGCAGCCAGCATGTGCCCGCCTCTGTCCAGCTTTCTTCTGTCCGTATATCATGTTGTTGCATATAGCTACATTTTGTTTATTCTGGGTTTTGGGCCACTGTTTCCAGTTGGGAGCTATTATGGACAGGGCTACTGGGAACGTTTTGTTTTTTTGCTCGTATTTTTCTGAAATAGTCACTTTTAACATGAAGATAGGATAGTTTAATTTTACCCTTTAGGTTTTTGTGACATTATCATACATACATTTGTCCAAACTTTCTCGATTTCTTAATTATATTTTCTATCTTTTAAATTTCATCAAAGTATATTAAATTTCCAATATCAGCTATATGGCAGTAGGTAATTGAACATAAAATATGTGCTTATAGTACTTACATCCAAGAAATTTGTACTATCACAATAAGGATTTTTTTTTTTTTTGGCTGGCTCAGGCTGCTTTAAGAGCAGGGCTGGTGAGGCTTGGGGAGCTGGGGATCGAACTGTGGTCCCCTGCACCTGACTGGGTTTGCTCCAGCAGGAGCTTAAACAACTCACTTAACTAGCAA